AGTGAACTGAGCGTCTTAAAAATTAGGCAGAATGCTCGGTATTAGTCCCTAATACATTATTTAAAGTTTCAACATTGTATCTTGTATAGATTTCAAGAGTATTATAATTGTTTAAAACAGATTTGGTCTGCCTCCAACGTTCGCTTGACATTAATCTGTCAGTGTCAAGTATAGTGGTATAAATATGCAGTAAACCAGGAGGCGTCGTAGCTTAATGAGAAGGATTAACGATTGCAGAACCTGAAGACGGAGGTTCAAATCTACAAAGCTTCTTTTTTCTATTATTTTTATTTATTTGGAGAAATAAATACTTTTATTGCGATCAAACAGTTTTTTTTATGTTATTATTATAATATTATTATAATTTCAAAAACATTATATCGGAGCATAGCAGATAATTTTTAAAAACAAATATCTTAGATGTGTAAATGATTGTCCAATAATAAATGAAAGACATCCGAAATTTTGTTTGTGTAAATACGCTCCAGAGTTTTCGAACGCGGTAAAATTAGGTACCTCTTGGAGCCGTAGAGGATGCTTAAAAAATTAAGTGAGCTAACCCACAGTTTTTGTATTTATTAAAATACTGTTGAGCGTAGATGCTTTGCTCATTTCATCAACAGCGTAGAATATGTTTTTGCATAGTTTGTATATTTATATTACGGTTGCATAACGCAAAGGTAATCTCTCTTTTCGGGAGTGATGGGAAAGAGGATTCCCTAAAACAAAGTGTAAGTTAAATATACAAAAAACCTGAAATTGAGTAGCTTCAATTACATGTTAATGTCTGGCATAATTCTTTTTTTGCATCTAAAATTTGTATTGTTGTGCATAGAATGAAACTGTATGAACGATTCATTGAAATTTTGTATTTATTAACCATAGAAACCATATTGCTGCTTATTTTTTCATGTGGTTATCTTCAAATTGTGTTTAACCACTAACTTGAGGTAATTAACTTGTAGTCCATTAAACAAGCATTCAAAAGCGAAAGGTGAATATAGACATTTTACCGATAAGTCTCTCTCACAGATAATGTATAAAAAGTACACATAATGTTTAAAAGTATTTATTTCTCCAAAAAAATAATAGAAAAAAGAGATTTATGGATTCGAGCCTCCGTCTTGCGGTTCTGCAATCGTTAATCCTTCCCATTACCCTACGACGCCTCTTGGTTTACTGGATTTTTATACCACTATATTTGACACTGACAAGTGTCAATCGAACGTTGGAGGCATATCAAATATGTTATAAACAATAAGAGTACTCATGAAAAATATACAAGATTCAATGCAAACTTTGAATAGTATATTAGGGACTAATACCGAGCATTTTGCCTATCTTTGAGACGGTCAGTACACTACAATTGGTTGATATTTGTCTACTCCTTTTTCGTTTCCTCGAGTTTATTTTCCAACATTTTGAACTCGCAGTCGTTTTAATCGTAAGAGATTTTGAAAACAGACTTTTACTATATTATTACTTTTATAAAAAAAAGGTCCAGGGAATTAAGTTTCTTCGTAAAGAAAGAGGATTACGTGACCTACTTATTTGACAAAGTCATGCAGCCATTTAGCATATGCTACATACTAACTAGTCTAAGACAGTCTGAAACATGATTTTGTCTTTAGTTTGCGTGCTAACTTTATAAACATTTCAGCGCATTTCAGTATGAAATGTTTTTTAGCGAATCTGTTCAATTACTTACAAATACGAAATGTTTGAATTTGTTTAGAAGAAAAAAACGTGTCGACAAGGTTAACTCGTGTATTTTGCTATAAAATGCCCTTTGAACGAACCATGTATATTTTTCTATTGATAAACTAGTAGTGATGGCCGTTTATAGGTTTTTTTGATAAACAATTAGGGATTCTCAAAAAATACTTGATCAATCAAAACCTGCATTTTGCCTAGATTTTCTGCCATAAATAACTTGTTTACTATTAATGGGATCTTTTTATATGTGCTCTCATAAATATCTAAAAGAAGAGTTTTTCGTTCTTGACAACACTTTCGATTGAATCCTCAGAAAACAGGTTTTCTCATTATTTGTTGTCGAATAAAAAGTTTTTCCACAAAAATTGGTGTACCCATTGTATGCATCCATGTTTTAAATAAATACCCCCTTGAACAACTTGCATCAATAAAACCAGACTTCACAATTATTTCGCAAACCAGGGGTATTTTTCGTCAAATATGATAAGACTATTGGCCAGACGTCCATATCTATTCTTTAGGATGGACTGAAAACTGAAATGATGTTGAATGGAGCCACAATAGATCCGCTAAAAAAACAATAGCGGTCGCATATAAAAAAAAATTAGTAATCAACCTAAGCTTTCCGCGATAACCCGAAAACCATTACCGCTATAAATCATTTAGAAGATAATTACCTGACAATATGAAAGCACGCCCGTCGCCATCCTCCTCGCCCATACACTATGCCAGTTCGCTACAAGTAATCGGTGTCGGTCGCCGTGAATGAGGGTTCAATCAAGTCGTTTGAAGGCTGAGGTGTTATTACAACTAGCCGAACAGAGTCAGGACGAGTCATAGGATACGTTGAATAACTATAACTGTTCGTACACTCAATTTCAGCTCAGGATTGGAGCCTTTTGGAAGGTGAAGCAAGCAGTGATTGCAAATTTTTTCACATTTAACGATTTTTAGATATGTTGGATAAAGCATTTCCCGTAACTAGTGTTAAGGTGAGAAAGTCACAAAAAGCCGTAGGTGATTACTGAAATTATCGAGGAAGGTAAGCTTATAGTGACATATTCGGTGCTTACAGGTACACAGGGCTGAGTTAACCAAAAATATAAAACTATAAGATTATAAGACCAAAAATTCCGTCGTTCGTCTATCTTAACACAGCATAGAATATAATTAAATATCACACTGGATACTGTCGTACAGATAATAAACAGAATTTCAATATAAATGGTGGTTCGCAGCTAAATGGCAAAGAGTTGGCTGATTCATTCATTGATCATCGTTAGAGCCTGTACAGGCACTCGCGCAAAATGTTGGCATCTGACTTTAGAAAACGTCGCACATACCAGGTAATACTAGCCCACTTTTTCTCTATCTAATGAGTCATAGTGAAATCATAAGAATTATTAATTACATCTCTAAAAAAAAGTCCAGTAGGGTTTACGAAGTTCCTTGCAGCTTAGCAAATGTATCCGATTTAATTGCAGATCCTCTAACCAATTAATTAATTTCTCGTTATAAAAAAGATGATAAATCCAATATAGCCAACTATAGAGGGATCACGGTACTTTCTACATTTGCTAAATTATATGAAAAAGCATATTATTCTAGCTGAGTCATTATCCTGGTAAATATATAATAAATTCCATTCCATACACTTTGGTTTCACGAAAGAAAGGTGCACTAAGAATGCCATTTTACCTTATGCAATGAGATTTCGAATAATTTTTAAAGCAAAGAAACGACAGCCTGTCTGCTGTTTGACCTTATCCGTGCATTTGATGTTATTGACCATTGCTTATTATTAAATAGATTAGAAAAATATTGAGTTCGTGGTTGTGCTTTTAACTGGATTCGGACTTGTTGGATATAACTCAGGCAGTGAAAGTTGATATCAATCATCATTTTAAATGTAAAAACGATTTTTGTGGACGATACAGCCTCCAGTACTCATGCTTCTGACCCTCAGATACTAGGTGCAAGAACAAATGCTGCTTTTACAAAATGAGTGACTATTGCAGGTCCAATGGTCTCATACTGAATACACGGAAAACGGATTTGGTCCTATTTAAGTATAGTAAATTGAAAGCATGAGAGTTAATGAAATTGGGTATAATAACATATAAAGCCGAATAACTATTGTAAATATCTCTGTATTTACATGGACTCCAAGCTGAGTTTTGTTAACCAAATTGATCGCCATGGCTAAAAAACTATCTGTTCAATCATTCATCACGTGGCAACTCCGGCAGCATGTGAATATCCAACTGTTAAGACTATACTATTATGCACATGTACAATCACATTAAGTTACTGCATTGTTGTATGGGGCGGAAGCCACCTATGCAGTGATCTATTTACAGTGACTGTGTACTACTTGTTTATCTATAGGAGTGTAATCTATGCCAGATAATATAAAACGCAAATATGAAAGAAACAACCAATTTAGAACAAATTTATTTTTTAATCGCCCTCTTCGACAGTACTTTCCATCTTGCCAATTTACGGAAGCTTTCAACTTTATACATCAATAATGGTTATCCGAAGTATTTGATTAACAGAATCCTGTTTAGCTCTCCCTCTAATATTTTGCCAATTCCTAATAATAATGGAAATGACAACTCCGCCATTTCCAGCACCACCCCCAATATTCTTTAACTAATGATAATAATACTACAACTGATGATGCTCCTAATCCCAGAGTTAGCTATGTTGTCTTGCCATACATTAACACGTTCACGACGACGTGGTACACCGGTGGTACATCGCATATCTTACCAAAAATCGTATGTGGTCACCGGTGGTACACTGCCAGTTGATTATTTCTTGCGCTTCCAATCCTTACCGTTTATAGTAGGGAATTGTATATTCATCATACGGCTATAAATATAGTAAGCATACATTCGTGTGCCACCGGTATCGCATCTGGCTATAATTGTGAATTTTATAGGAAATCTAATTAGAGGTATAAAAATCCATGAGTTTCATATTATTTTATGTGTAAAACACATTGTAACAACCAGATTGAGTAACTGAACTAGGTAAGAAGTTAGAATATTTAGTGAAAAATAACTCAAAAATATTTTTCTAACATTGGAAATAAGTACTTATATATTTAGGTAGGTGTTACTTATGAATTTCATTAAAACATTGAAGGCATAGTGTCGGTTGCTCTGGGCAATCTTTACAAAATGTAGAAACACGCTTGGCTTTATTTCTAGCCTCTTTGACACCGCTTGTGCTCTGGAGTTTTCGGTAACATGAGGTACATCTCTTCAGAGTCATTCTTACCGTGCCATCATATTTTTGCATCTTATGATGAGCGATTCTGCTACTAGCTCGAGGTCTCTTTGTTCGGGCACGTTAGCGGCAATATCTTCAGGTTCTATATTTTCTTCAATGTCTTCTTCCTCCAACAAGCCCCTTGCAACTTTTTCACGAAACTGCAGCATAGAAAGTTTTTTCGCATTTCTGTCATAGTAATTGTAAATCACCCACGAGTTCACCATGCATGTGCCAAGCAGTATTTCAAAGAATACTTTTTTATACCACTTGATACTTTATTCTGATACAGGTATAATAGCTGGACATTTGGTCTGAAATGTCGACGCCTTTCTTAGCATTATTGTAATCAATGACTGTTTGAGGCTTGAAGGTGTCTTCTCCTTTTCTAGTTTTCTTTCTTGTTGCCTTGAGTTCTGCCTGGTGGCTTGGGCACGTGCTGATCATCAAGACAGGACGTTTGTCTAACCATTACATCACTCTAATTCCATTCTGATTCTGTTGTCATAATACCTCTCCCTTCCGAAGCTTTTTTTTGCAAACTGTGGGTGGGTTTCCCTTTCTATTTTGTCTGAGTGTGCCGCAAACGTAAGTCTTACAGTTCAAAAGAGCCTTACATAACTGGACACTTGTATAGAAGTTATCAATATAGAGCGTGCGTCCTTCGTTTAACAGATCCTGTAGTAAATCCATACAAACGTTAAGTATGCCACGATCATTATTCGGAGCATTTCCGACATTTTTTCCTGCATATACGTATGTCGAACGTATAACCTTCGGGAGTACAAATTTTGTACAATTTTACACCATATTTAGTGCCTTTGCGGGAAGATACTGCCGGAATATGAGGCGGCCCCTCCATGGCACCATACTCTCGTCTATTACAATATTCTCAGCGGGTGTAAGTGTTTTTTTGAAAGTGTCACAAATGTGGGTTACAACATGTTTCAATTTGAAAAGACGGTCAGTATCTGCAAGGGGGTCTTCATTATTGGACAGATGAAAAAATTTCAACAGGCAGTCAAATCTGTCACGCTTCATTATTTTTTGAATAAGTATGTTACCATACATGTCATTACTCGACCAATACAACCGGGTTTGTGGCAAATGGTGTATGCCCATGACAATCAGGATAGCAAAGAACTTTCT